ATTTAGTACATTATTAATGCAGTTATTATTATAACAATAGAATTTATCAAATACATTATTTATAAAGTCAAAAAAAGTAATAAAGATTTTTTGTGAGGCCTTTTATTTATAAGAAATTGAGTTAAACAAATGAGCTAATTAAGAAAATTAAGGGTAAAAATATTGATTCAATATAATAAAGATGCACACATGGCTACTCAGGAAATCCTGCTGTAAGAAATTACCAAAGCCAGATTACCAGACACATGTCTGCTAAAAGATTAAATCTATCCATGCTGTCCATTCTTTCTCAAGAAACTGGGCACTGTCAAATAAGCTCCTTCCAAATCATTCTAAATTTCCATTAGGTCAAGCTGCTGGCTCGAAGTCAAGATTTCAATCAGTTTTCGGCCGATTTTTCTTCCTGCTTCAGTAGACATAGACTTTTGCCAAAGCTTCAGCAGCAATCCTCCTTGGAAAGAAACACAACATAACATTGTCAAATTAATATGGAGCACATGGAGCTTGCAGCATACAAGGGACAAAGTGCACGCCCGGCAACAAGCACTCGCCACCCTCCTGTGGACAGTGAAATGTAGACAAAGCTGGAGTTTGCCAATGGAGTAATAATTGCCTACAAATGTGTAGGGAGACAGACCATTCATTCAGCTCAGGATTCTTTGTATTGACAGACAGCTGGGCTTGTTTCCTTGTCACCAGCATTGCAAGTCAAAATGATTGAAGACTCATGTTAAGGTCTTGGTCTGCACTTGCACATAGCTTCATGGCTTATGAAGCAGTAGCCTGGTAGTTAAAATCAGGCCTATCTTTGTTTTTGCTCTAAAAAAATCCTAAGAATTTGCACTTTTTGCAAGCTAAGGCCTCAAGCTAAAGGAGCAAATGGTCCTAATACTTTTGGCCAGGCAATAAGCCATGGCTCTCTAGGAAGTGTGCCTGGCCAGCCTAGCATTAGCACAAGTTTGCCTGTTCCTTACTCCTCTCAATGCTGATCTTTCTAGTGGATAAGGGGTCCACAGAGGAAACCTGAGGGTAAAAAAAGCCTCCTAGAAAACCAAAAAAAAGTTTATTCTCCTGAAAAGCATGCTTCTGTATAAAACCAGCAGTGTAGAAGAATTTGCACAGTATTGTTCTGGGGAAATAAGAAATTAAGAGGAGAAGACAGCAAATAGTCCTCTTGCTTAGGAGGACTACAGGACCACAGGAAAGGTGAGGACAGCAGGAAACAAACAGGTTTTGAATAACATGGCATCTGCTGTTCTGCCTTCGGGTATCAGCAAGGAGCAGAGCATAAAAAATAAAGTTTCTGACCGTCCATCAGTCAGGAAGCTTTAGAGGTAGCACAGCACTCTCTCAATACAATTCCTGTTGTACTACCAGAGGCAATTGGAGGGAAAAAAAAGAGTAATCAAACTCTGAATCATTTTCACTCTGGCTTGGACAGGGTCCTGTCCTAAGAGGTACTGAGACACTCTATATGCTGTTGAAGTTTGCAGCACCAGAAGACAACTCCACATCTCACAAGATGTATTTAAAAGTTTGAGGAATCCAACTCTACAAAAACAGTATGTCACTCTTTGTCACCTGAGGTCCCTGCTGAGCTGATTTTCTGATCAGCAAATCAGTCACCAGGCTGAGTTAGTTTGCATTTAATTCAGCTGAATTCAAAGCTCATCTGTTAGAGCAGAGTCAGGGAAATCCCTTCCCTGAAAAGCAAGGGATTTCAGCTGTGGACTTCATTATGGCTGCACCTGCATCATCTCTCTTTTTCTTTCCCTCTCCCACATTCAGCATCAATACCTCTGTTAATCTCTCCCTGCTGTGCTGCCCTGGTGCTCTGCTCCCTCCCTGCTGTCCTGTTGCTTGAGTTTTTCCTCGCTGTAGCCTTCTCCCCTTCTGGAGGTGGGTCAAGAATCCCTGAACTGTGGCATATACTGCAGGGCAGGGGAGAGAGCTGTTAAGACCCTTATTCAGATTTCGAGGAATAATGCTATGTGGAAGATGTGAGGGAAGAACTCTGTGATGGGAGGAATATCTTCGTTTCATATCTTTTTCAGCTACAAATACAATTGCTGAGAGAATTTTCAGTGAAATATATGGACAGAAGAGGATCACAAATGCCATATCTATGCGTACTAGTTTTTCAGTGTATTTTTACATTCTATTTTCATTTAAACATTCAAAATAACTTTCCTTCAAATAGGGCAAACAGAAATAGCCAACCCAGCTGTGTCTACGAATGAACTGAACCCTCAGAAGAGTGTAATTCTGTGTCGCACCGCTGGATGGGGATGCACGACTTGTTTTGATGAAGGTGATGAAGGCAGCATTGTCTAAGGATACAGTTTTGCCGGGACAGATTATATTCTCTGTTAAATCAAAGACTACAATGAAATCAAAAACCAAAACCAGAACATTTGTGCACACACAAACTGTTGCTCATGATCATTTGCCCATTTTTTTGTTGTATGGGGGCGTTTTTTTATTTGTTTGTTCAACTGATCTAATAACTTCATTTACAGCTTTAATGGTTTCAAATTTAACTGGTGAAACACAAACTAATGCCTGTGTTTTTAAAGTTCCTCTGAAAAGCGTGGAGGGGAAAAAGGTGAGATCATCTGCTCCAAAACTGTTTTCATCTCATTGAAATCCCACACATTGTGTGTTATCCCATTGCTGCATTTTCTCTCTGGTGCATTGTTTGCTTATGGTTGTATTTTTAGCTGGTTTACTGTTATTCTCTAAGAAGTGTTTATACTATTTTCTATCAAAAATTCACTGTGTTGATATGGAGAAAGGTACATAGAGAGAACAAGATATTAAATATATATGGACTACAGACATTTGTAGGTCAGGCTCGTACCTGTCCATTTATTTGCTTTGTGAAGAGCTCTCAATGCAAACAGGACTTTATTTTGTTGTCGGGTGAAGTCACTAATGGATGGGATGACATCCCCTTCAACAAGCATCCTCTGGGGCAGAAAAGCCTGGAACTTGTTTGTTGTCAGCAAATCTGTGGAGAAGTGTGTGGCTGCAATGAAATCTACAGCATTAGACCAGTCTTCACCAAAATTTTCTTCTGGCTTAGAGAGATATTTTAATCTGAAAGAGACAGAGATAAAAATTAAAATGTAACAGATAATTGAAATCTGCTGTAGAACACATTAGTTACTCACTTATCCCAAATGTTTTTGTACAGTATAAACTCCTGAGTGATGTCACTGCCACAGTGACTTCAAGCCTTCCTCAGAACTTTACATCCCATTTGTCTTGGCATCACTGCCTTTGCCCAGATTAAACGCAGCTCCTGAATCAGGCCCTGGCTCTCAGAGGAATCAGCATCTCATTCTAAGCCCAGAGCCTGCTCGCCCTTCCAGTCTGGTCTCTCACTGGTCATCCCACACTCCGAGTGGAAGGAAGAGCAGAGCCTAAAGAGTAGATGCCTAAAGGAAAAAAAGCTCATGCAGACTTTGTTAGGATACTATCCTTCCAAAGAAGCATGGAGGGGGGAAGATCATCCTTGGCCACCTGTCTCATTCCCCTACCTGTCCTGGAACTTGGGGAGTGCATAAGCAATGGAGAGAACATGCGCCTTCCACATGAGACCGAGGGCATCATCCAGTTTGAAGGAGGAGATGGTTGCAGGGCACACAGCTTTGTCTTCTGTAGACAGCAGATACTGCAGCAACAGGGAGGAAAAAAGGCAGAGAATCAGGGGGGAGGTGTAAACGCAATGAATTTTTTTGACTTATGCACATACAAAATCATGAGTTTGCAAGCTAAGGGAAGCTGCTTTTGAATAGTTAAAATGTGCTGCTTTGTAAGAAACTACAATGTCTGACCTCGGGACAAAAAGATGATTAACATAGGTTTGTAAAGTTTATACATATCCCCATTGGATATGTATTAACAGGAGTTGCTGTTCTTTGACTTCAACAGAGCAAGGGTTTTATCCCCATAATTTAGGCATTCTGTTACAATAACTCAGTGGACTTTTGTATCTGAGTGCCATGGAAGCTTCTGCATTGAAATATTGTCTTCCTTGAAAACTTGTCTATACCCTTTTGACCACAATTTTTCCAAGAAAATAAGAAAATTATCTTTAATTGTTGTCATTATGGAGCAGATATTTTATAATAACTTCTGAAACATGTTGTTTAGGAAAAATGATCTTATGGAAACAAATCCAGTTTTGCTCCTAAACATTCTACCTTCACTAAGAGATGCCAAGAGGGAATTATAGTTTAAGCTTTCTGATCATTATCAATTATTTGACTACTGACAAAGATGTTGACTATAGTAGTCTATCTATAAAAAAGTTATTAAATCTATGACGTAATAAATATTGTCATCTTTGGGATCAGGGAAGAGCTGCATGAGGAGAGAATATCTACTTGCAAAAATGTTCAGGTTTTTAGATGTTCAAAGGAATAAATGAACCCTATAAAACCAACCCAAGTCCATTTCTCAAGGGCACTGTTCTATCTCACATGCTTATTTTGCATTGTTAGCATAAGCAGAATTGGAAGAATGCAAATATAGTTGTTAACAAAGCAGTGTCTCGAGACACAGGCCTAAATACAGAATTATCTTAAAGGAAACAAATCCATAAGTTGCAAAAATCCTGCTCTTCTTGTCTCTGACTCACTTAATGTTATGCTTTTCATTTTTCCTGCTTGTTGCTTTCATACCAAGCTGTTACTGAAATCAAATGGCAGTAATAACAGTTTTTAAAGGTAATATTGTGATATCATTTCTAAGAATATGAAAAGAAAAAGAAGCTAAAATTACTTACATCAAAAAAGGCTGTCCAGCCATCCAGGAGCTTGGGCATGCGAGATCTGCAGTCGGAAACACTGTAACAGAAATCCTCTCTTTGCTCCTCTGGTGGCAGTATTTCTATCTCGTGTGGCAGCTGCCCAAAGAGCCCAGCCTCCACTGCCCCCAGAAAGGGGATCACAGACAGGTAGTAATTCATACCTGCAACAATAATTAAAAAGGACAAGGTGCTAATCACAAGCAAATAAAAAATTCCCACACAGAGAAATGAACTCTCTCCCGTACCAAATGTAATTGTTTAAAATTGTCATTGATACAACTGTGTTCAGCAGTGGGTTGTATGTACTGAAATGCACTAATTGATGACCTCTGTATTGATTCAGATATGACTAATAATGTTCATTTATATATTGTTTTTTAAAAGCCTTGCATGAGCTTACAGCATGTTTCACTGGAAAGGAAAAAACTGCTGAAAAACGTTACACCTTTGTAGTCTGTCATGGACATGACAAGAAAAGTATCTCAAATAATAATTGTAAACTAAATGCAGAAAGACTAAAGGGTACTCCATGAGTATCATTTTCATTTAAAAAACCCTCTTCTATGCATCATAGACCTTTAAGAAAGGAAAAGGCACTATTTTACTGGAAAATAATTTTGCCTTTAGAAATATTTCACTCATTGAAAATTGCTTGTAAATGACCTCAGTTAATCTGTTTAGATTTATTTTGGTATGATGGCTTCCTTTGATCTGATCCGTAAGTATCAGTTAGACCCAACATGTAGGAAACTCAGGTTCAGTTCTCACCTGTGCCAAACCATGTCTCCAGTGAGAGTTCCCATATGAATATTTGACATTCCTCATTTGAAAGGAGGATTTAAAGTTCTCCTCTTAATTATGTCTTCTTTGTAGAAAGCTTAGTAACTTTCAGTGAAAAAAAGCCTGGAGACCAGTTGTATTCCCTCGTGGGTGGTGTCTCTGAGCTGTTGTGCTGGAGTCATTTGCTCATACTTGGTCTCAGGGCCACAGACTGCATTGGTATTTTGTACACAATCCCGGCAGTGATGACCAAAATCATCAAAACCTGACCACCTACCATATATCTCTGCCCTACTAATGGGAAATCATTGTTCCACCTTGTGGGGGAGAGCAAAAACCAGAGTTCACAAGAAGGAGTACATGCCTCGGCTATAGTTCACCAGGGACAAATGGCAAAGTGTGGGAGTAGGAACACTGAAGGACCTTAGTGCACTGCTCTAAGGGTTGCATGAAACAAAAGATGGAGTGGCACAGAGTTGTTGCTCCATCATAACTTCTGGGATCTGTTGATAAGCCCAATCTGTCTTCTCCCCCATAGGCATGCCTACTGGGTAAGAACCTCATTCTATGTGTGATAGATAAATGGTTATCTCTAGCTAGCTTTTATTGGTGAATAGAACTTGTCTGTATATTGCTTCAAATTCATTTTTGCAGTCAGTTACTATCGATGACAATCTCTGAACCTTAACCTGTCACAGTCTCCTGTTATCAGTGTGTTTGTTAACAAAGTGTTATTCTGTAAGTGTGTGAGACTTCAACAGCAGTAGCAGTGGTCAGCAGTGGATAACATACTTGACAAAACAGGTACTATACACCAACTAAGAGTGGGGATGCTACTGGGGTGTGACCCTGAATAGGTGAGTCGAACCACCCTCCGATGCAGTGAGCTGTTCAGTGTAATCCCCAAAATAGGATGCCAACAGGCTGGTTTGGCACAAGGGTCTCAGCTTCCCTGGGGGTCCTGATAGATTGAACAAATATAAATGGTTCAAGGAAACCTCCCCCTTTCACATGACACACATCCTGTATGTGGACCTGGTTGGGAATTCAGGTGGAAATGTACAGCCAGTCAGAATAGCAAAGACTCAAGGGATGAAAAGACAGTGTCACATTGGGACTCATTGCTAAGATGGATCTTGCTTCTTGTTCACTGTTTTCATGAGAAGTGTTGAAACCTTGATTTCACATCAGAAAGTGCTCTTATTCTTTTAAGCATGCTTGCACATATTATGTATTTGTACGTGTTTGGGTGACTCAGAGGGTAGAAAGCAATTCAGGAGAGGACTATACTGAATATCATTCTTGGCCAAAAAGATTGGTGTTCTTAATTAGGGTGTGTCTCATACACTTAGGGGTGTATTAAATGTGACTTTCTAATTTAAACCCACTCCCTGATGGCCAGCTGAAAGCATTCATATCTTCAGAACAGTAAGAGACATTTCTGTGCAGTCTCAAAGACTTTTTGTATCTTCCTGCTGCAATAGGGTAATTAAAAGATGAGTTTATACATTTCCTGGAGGTGACAAAATTGGTATCAAGCAAACATGCAATATTTAGAAAT